GCTACCATTATTTTGTATATTATCACTACTCTGTGAGCAAAATGCATCCCAGTGTTAACTGGAATCTGGTGTGGGTATATGTAAATAGAGACAAAGAGGTAAAAATGCATGGTGATTATTTCTTGTTTGGCAGGCATTATGTCAGCAAAATACTTTGTTTTCCCACTCAACCTTGCAAAATAATGTACCTCCCAACCCTGAGATTAAATAACATCACTTTTTTTATCTCAGTGTCCTAGTTTATAGTTTTCAGATATTATTAGGTTGTGCATTGCTTACATGTAGAAGGAATGACACACTTTTTCTATTGAGAGAAATTTGGGGTAATTTCAATGGTAAGTTGAACTCTATGATGCAGAATTGGAAGCTCTGTAATGTTATCTGCTACACAAATTGATGGCAGATTGTGTAATACTTTTTCTTGCAGTACTGATCAGTACTGACCTGGCTGGGCAGATGGCTAGTTTGGTTGATTACATATTCATCACAATTTATATTAATTATCTGTTTCTCCTTATTTTTTTGCATGGTGTTTTGTGAAGTTAGTATTTCAGAGAACTTCTATCTGCCATGCTGGTGTACAGGAATGTATTTGGCATGTTAACTTTCTTTTAACAGTTGTGTTTAATGTATACAGAGAGCATCTAGCTCTGAGAGGCCATCTGAACATCTTCAAAGGGTTATTGAATTGTTCATCGATCTACTTCATTACTGCTGTTCCTCTGGTTCCTTTTGATGTCTTGTCACTTTGTTCAAAATATAATGCCAAGCTTTTAAATTAATAGTTGTGCAGGAAGCCCTACATGTGTAAATATTAGGGTATGTTTTTCCTTTGAGTGAGAGTGTGCTAGATTGTCCAGTAAATATTGCTGCCATCAGAGTGTTATCTTTTTCATGCCTCTCACTTTACATAAAGACTCCTTCCTATCTTCCTCTTAAGGAAGCTGAAGTGTCTGAGGTTTTATCTTTTAGGTTTTATAACAGTCTAATCTCTTATTCTGCCAGTAGAAGCTTACAGACTCGTTCCCTGATTAGAAAAATAAATTTGATTAATTTTCCCTCCTTTCCTTTCATCTTTTCCATGTGTTTCTCTTACATTTGTTAAATTTACTAGCTAAAAGTGCCTGCTGATTCCCCCCCCTTCATTAATTTATTTATTCACTTTTTGAAGCTTTTTAAACTTCTGGAGTAGACAACATTCCATGGCAAGGAGTTCAATAGTTAGTATATTTATTTCTTGGGAAAATGCTTAATTTTTAATCCTACCACCTGAAAATTCATTTGTGGATTTTATGATTAATTTTTTAGTCAATGGGTAATAATTCTTAATTTATTTCATAAGATGTGCAGGATCTTAAAAATATTTGTCATAGCATGCATCAATTGCTTCTTTTTTCCATGATTAAGATTGTAGCCTGTTTGCTTATTCCTTGTACAGAAATTGTTCCATATCTTTGGTCATTTCCATCATCACCTCTCAGTATCTCTTCTATTTCTAGATTTTGCATTTGATTTATCCTTTATAGTTCATTGGCTGATCTTCTACGCTTAGTGTGTGCCCACAGCAACAGCAGGAGGTTGCCTGATATCAGATTAATTTTTGTGATAAAATAATGTAGAAGAGTGTTAAGTGGCAGAGTGAGAAATAAGACTTCCCGCTGGTGATAAGGCAGGCTTGGAACTGTTTCATTTAGATGTCCAGACAAGTGTCTTTGCCTACAAGGCAACCCTGCCTGTTTGCACTTGTCCAGCTTCTAGCCCACCTCCCCTTCCCAGCAACAAAACCTGGATGCTGTCTTCCCAGAGCACTGAGTTCCTGGTTAAGTGTGTGTCATGGGGGTGCTGAGTAACCGAATCACATAAATCAGCTGGTTCAAGTTATCCATCCCTTCTGCTGAAAAGGCAAAGAGTTGTGCCACAAAGCTGTCAGATTCATGTATTGCTGGTGTTCACTGTGTGTTATACAGGACTATTTTTTTTTTTTAAAGAAGCTCACAAGCTATTACTTCCTCTCTCTCCCCCACCCAAAACAGTGGGAATGAGCTGAAATATTGCAGAGATGGGGGGAAGCTCTAAATATTTAGGGTTGCAGAGTGTAAGCTGTTCCATTAGAAATTATCAAAGGCAAGGTTACCTGTGCAGTGTTAGATCCTCCTTCTTCGGTACATGCAGCCCCATCAGTCTTTGGTCACTTGCATACTCTTTTCTTTTCTGTAAAACTGCAGGTATTTCAACAATACCAGAAATATTGTGAAATCATAGGCTAGGGCTGCATGTGTTTATTGGTGAGATTCTTTTTTATTTCTTTTTCCCGTCCAGCTGGGCTCACCCTTTCGTTGTTATATTTCAGTGTGTAGCTTGACTACGGGGCTTCTTTCTCCCATCTCATTGTAAACTGTGGTTCCTTACCTTTCGAAAACCTACTTCAAACGTAACTGAATAAAAAGCAATGGAGACAACCATGTTAGGAGGGGGGAAAGGAAAGCAAATTCTCAGCTATGTGGAGCTGCCAGTAATGTTCAGAAGCTGACAATGATGAACTGCTCATCTAAGCATAAATAGTCTTCACAGTCTGTGTGTTTCTTGCCTTGTGAAACTGGGCGCACTGTACTCATTAGTTTTGTTCCTTTTTAAATATTTGGTGATCACACAGTTTACTTTGTCTAGTGTAAGCCTCTGTTGCAGTCACTCTTCCCTTTGCTGTACATGAAAACCAGGAGTCTACAGTGTGTCTGGTCTTTAGTGAAATGAGCAGTTAACAGTAGCCCAGGCTGGTGTTTTGTGATCTGCCATGTATTTTACACTGAAAACATAAAAATAGAATCCTGCAAAATTGATGGGTTTCCATTGACAGGGATTTTCATCTTTTTCACTGTTTACATACTGAAGATGAGGACTTTGCTATGACACAAAGACACTTTAGGAAGATCTCAAACAGCAGCAAAAAAAAAATCCTCTCTTTGGGGAAGAAGATGTATCACGTAGGCTGTTTTGTCATTTTAAAGTTAAAACATTTCTTTTCCCAAGAGTATTAGCTGAGGAAAACCTCATATTTTTTAAAGCAGTTAAGTAGCCAAGAAGTCAATACTATGTATAAAATGTGTAATAAATGTTGACTTCTGTGCCTTTACTCCATGATACCCTGTCATACTTGAAATAGTGTCCTTGCAGAGACTCAAGACACATCATTTCTATTGAGAGGGTTTGTGTTTTTGGAGGCTTGTACTGCCCCATTAAAAAAAAAAAGTTGCTATTTAAAAATTATCAAATCCCTATCTTCTGGTTATGATTTTTGTAAAATATCTTCACAAAAGAAAACCCATTAAGAGAATGGGTACTGTGCTCTTGGAAATCTCTGGAAATGGAAGTGCCAAAAGCTACTAACTCGATATTTAAGTCCCATTTTGCTTAGCTGATCACATGGGATCTAATTCTCTTTATTTTATATATTTGACTTCACAGCACTATTCTTTCCTTTCCCTCTTGCTGGAGGAAAGGATCATTTTCTAACACCAGCTCTTCTTTTCTCTCCTACTTCTTCACTGAACCCCAGGAATTGTGTGCTGTTTAGGTTAAACCTACCTGCATCATGTAAGGTCATTTGAAATGAGGCATATGTTGATTACTGGAACTGAAGAAGATGCCCAAGTCATAGCAATGCATTAGCATAATCTACAGAGTCACCAAGGCTGTACAGTGGGATTAAGAGGGAGCCAGCCCATCGGGATCTGAGGGCACAGCTTCTTCTGTGTCTCTCTTATGTCATTAAGATGGCCTGCGGACTCAATAGACTAAAGCAGTTGGTGTTGCAACACCTGCACTATATGCAATTCACAGTTTTTATTTTGCATTAGATTTAATTTGCTCGCCAGGTCTAAGCAGTCTTACTGCACTTGGGATTCAAGCTGAATGACTGCTTATTACTGCCCTGATAAAAGGTGAAGGATTGGAACAGAGCTTTGAGTTCAGTTTCCTCTCACAAAAGTGTGGTTTCATGTGCCAAAACTGCCCTGGGCACAGAACCATCATGTAGAGGGAGAGCTTTAAAACTATACCAATGCTCTGATATAAGGTGTTAATATAGACATAATAGCCTTTAATAATCTTAAAGATCTTTTGCCCAGGTCCTCCCAGTGATGGTGTTCAGCATGATAGTATTTAGTATTACTGTGTCTTTTGGTAATCAAAGCTGCTGCTGTTAGCTCCTGCTCTTTCAGGTTCACTAATTGAAGTCCATTGACTTAAATCCATTGTTTGTATTAAGAAAGGGGGAAGGGAGGGGAAAAAAAAGGCTCTGGGGTTGGGTTTTATTTTTTCCCTTTTTTTCCAGTATTGTCCCTGTCAATGTGCCACAGTTTCATCTGAAACAAGGGATGCATGAAGCTTTTCAGTCTGGGTTTTGTTTCTCCGTATTTTTTATATTTGTTTAATTTGCTGACTGGCAGCTCTAAAAATCACTTAATCAGCATATCTGGCCCAAATACGAGGCTTGACTTGAACGTACTGACACTGTCTTGGCTCATGGACAACAGAGACTAGTTTGAATTCTTGTTCTGTGATCTATATAGGTAGAGGTGATTGAAGAAGAAAATAATAGTCTGAAAATCTGTCTTGTTCCTTTCCCAGCTGTGCCACAGAAGTCAAACCCCAAATGCTTCTTTTGATCTCGTTTGTAACCTCACATAGCTTCAGAGAGTCACTTCTGACTTATAAGACCTTCTGTGGGAAGAGGAGCAGTTCTCTAATTCCACTGCTCAATTTGCAGGCCTGTGTTTGAGTCCCTTGGTTCTTTTGACCTCTCTGAAGCACCAGTGTATTGCATTTATTTCTGTGACCTGAGGAGCTACTGAGCAATGTCATCTCATTGGCAGTTCTGTTTAGCCGATACAGAAAGCATCTTCTCCCTCCTGAATCTAGGGAAGTCATCCGAACTTGTTACTGTGGCAAGTCCTATCATGAAAAGATCAAAAATTAACTTACTATGTTTTTTTTTTCCCCAGGTACTCCACATCTGCATTCTCCAAACTAAGCAGAGTTGGGATCCGACATCCTCCACCTCTTCCTTTCATTGGAAATCTGCTCTTTTTCAGTGAGGTAGAGTATGTTTTCCTTTGTATTGATCCAAACTGTTGGGAAGAGTGGACAGGAGGTAGAAGGAATTGAAAGGAATCCTACACTTCAGTGATACCATCTCTTCCAACATTTCCCTCTGGAAAGGACAAGCAAAACTCAGCTTTTTGAATGAATTGGTAGAAGCAGTTGTGTGCAAGCAGCTTTAATTTCAGGGTAAAGTAAACTTGAGGGAAAGAAAATGTGTAAGCTTCTGCAGTTAATTACTTGAGCTTTTTCATGGAAGTTCATGCCCTCAGTGAAACTAAGTTATGTGAATAGAGCAGATTATGTTAACTAGCCCCAACTGGTTTGTTCTGAGTGGTTTTGGCTCCTATGACCTTTCTGTTTGTTTGTACTTTTGCTGATTGTATACATTTATTTTAAAGCTTTTAATATTGCTTGCTCCTAAGCAGTAACTGGAATTAGATACTGCAGAATGCTGTTGCTCTGTGCCCCAAATACTGGAACTGGGAGAAGGGGATGTACTGGGATTCTGCCTCCAGATTTCGTTCCCTTATTCTCACCTATCTTCTTTCAGTAGCCTGCTGATGCTACATTTTGTTCCTTACTCAATTTCAGTAATGTTGCTGAGGGTTCAACATATCTTAATAATGAGGAGCTGCCATTTCTCTGTTTGGATCTTACAGTAAAATCTCTCTAGTGTGTCTCTGTTGCAGTCCAACAACTTTTCAGGAAATCTGGGCCAATTCCAGCTGCTGCCCTGCCCAGTTTTCTCTTTTAAGTGCATGGTCATCAATACCCATGCTGAGATTTGAATTATTAATGGGAATATATTGCTTCTTACCTTGGTCTTCATGGTGATTGTTCTGTCAATATCTGACTCATTATTAGATAAAACCCTTTTAAATACCGCTTTTGCATGTACATCTGATTTCATTTAGAAAATAGCATAAAAGGTAGACTTAATCTGCTCTAGATTAATTTGAACTGGAATTGGCAGGGTGACTTTAACTTACAAGAGTTGCTGGTGGTGTGGAATACAGACCAGTTCACCTTCACTCTTCTGGTTTCAGTTCATCTGGGTGGCATAAAGCTACTCATTCTGTAGCTCCTTGGTGGTGAAATCCACTCATCGTTAGTCACCTGCTAACACTTGATGTAGGTAAAGGTGCCTAGAGATTAAATTATTTTGATACATTGTAGATAGGCCTGCCCTGTGCCAGTGTACAAGTGGCAAGTTTCTGGGAACTAGGATCCAAAATTATCATATGATCTGTTAGGCAAATTTCATTACCAGAATAGCATTCATTAAATTAACTTAAAGCAGGCTACTGAAAAAAAGACAAACTTGATTTTCCTAACTTTTAGGAAGAAAAATAAAATAAAGGTAGCTGAGAAATTATATCTTGGGATACCAAGAAATAACAATTCCAGATAGGGTTTTGAAACAGAGTCGAGTGATGCAAAGCCACAAGCACTGCCAGGCTGTATGTCCAACACTGTGACATTTCACCATCCATCTTCCTTACCATCCTATCACTGCCAGTAGAAACAGGCAGGGATGAGTCCAGGCTCTGCAATTTTTCTTTCTTCCCTCATATATTTTGCCATTTTTTCTGGATCTGCTCCTGCGGCTGCTTTCTTAGAATAGTGCCCATAGCAACGCGCCAGTAATGGGAGCACTGCTTTTATACTGCAGGCTGTTCTCTATGAGAGCATTTTCAGGGACAGAAGTGCTCTCACTGCAGTCAGTAGAGGACATCATCCACTTTCCCTTTCCCAGCAGGGGGGAACCAGAGGTTGCCCATCACCATCCTGGGAATAGGGGTGCTTTTAGGGGTTTAGCTGCAAGTGGCACAACTGTGCATGAGCAGTGGCTTGTTAGGGCTGGATTTAATATTTTTTTTAATAGAAAGTAGCAATAGGTTTATTCCTTTTTTTTTTCTTACATCTATAATGTTAAGAAGTTCTTGCACTTCCTTGTTTATGCAACCATGTCTTTCCACTGAACTAGCTTTTTAGACAGGCTTCCTTTTGAATAGGCTAACTCTTTCTTAGTATTGCTAATGTTGTGCAGGAAAAACACATGAGCCACACTCCCACTAAATCATCAGACTAGTGCTTTTCAACCCATGAACATTTATTTCAAAGGAATTAATGAATGGTGACTAAGAGGAATGAATTGATATGTGCTGTATGGCAATCTGCATATGTGTAATTCATACATTTCCAATGTCGAATTTGTGTCTGCAAAGTAACACAGGTTGAAAAGCCCTGAACACCAGTGAGATCTAAAAGAGAATGACTGCAACATATATAGCCTTGCAGTCCAAAAGTGCCCTTGTCTCATGGTTTCTGGCTTTTCTCCTAGAAAATGATTACTTGAAACTCTAAAAAAAAAAAAAAAAAAAAGGAGAGGGTGTTCCTTTGACATAGTAGAGTAAATCTAGGACCTGAGAATTTAAGAAAAAACATTAAATATCAAAAGCTCTCAAGAAAATTGGGGGAGTAAGCGGCATTTTTCAATTTGTAATGGCATAAATTCAAGGATTTGCTTGTCTTCTCCCTTACTTGGGTGTAAATCACTTCTACTGAAATAAATGGAGTTTTCCTGTTTTGCTCTACTGTACATGTGAACAGAGCTTCAGGCCTTATCATCCTTTTTTTTCCTTGCAATTGTTCTTCTGTAAATATGCCTGAAAACAAATGAACAAAGCAGGCAGGATTTGACTGGTAGTACTGGGTTGTGGGGTATTTAATAAACTTTCAAAGGTATTTTAAACAAGAAAATGTTTTGTCCACAAGACTTTTTTTTTAAGGAATTATTTTAAGGATTTCTTGAACAGTATATTTTCTTTGAGTAAAATAGTAGTTGCTGTCAGTATAGTGTTCTGAGAGAGGAAGAGGAAGTGTGGAAAGTTAAGGGGCTAAGGGAAATGCAACAGCAAAGACCTATCTCCATCACAGAGAAGCAGACTTTAAGAGCTGACTTGGGGAAAACAAAGTTATTTTACTGTAAGTCACCCCTTCTCTCTCAAGTACAATAAAGGGAGATAATCTCACTCTGAAACTAAAACATATCCAAGTTAGTCGGCCTATCTCAATAATAAGAGGATGGGAAATTATTGCAGTTCTGCAGCTGGGAAATTATCTGAGTCCAAGATATTAGATTAAAAATTCTTCCATTGTATGAGAACAATTTGTGGTAGGCAAGTCTGATGTAATAGTAAATATGATTAGGCTGTTTAAAAAAAGCAGCATGTTCAATTTTTTCCAATAACTGAGCAGACTTGTAGCCGACAGGCTACTGTTTTGCTACAAACTCCTGACTCTTCCCCCACCTCTCCATTTACTGCATTTTTCCTACAAGTCTGGAAAAATGTGAGGGTTGTTTGTGATGGCTGTGTTATGGGAGACACAAGGGTATACACACCATGGACTTTCACACATGGATCTGCATGGACTTCAGAGCAGCTTGTTCCAGAAAAACTAACCCAAAATTTCCTATCCATTCCCAGGCTAATGATTTCATTATGTGACAAATGCTCTGAAAACGGAGAAGGCACACGCGCTGCATCACCCTTTCTCCTCAAGACCTGCAGCAAACACTTGACCTGTTGCTATGGCTGTGCTGTGCTTTTCTCTCTCTTTCCCATTTCTTTCCTAAAAAGACAGCTACACTGTTTTTAAATGTCATAGGCTCTGACATTTACACAGCCCTGGTTGCCCAGTACCGTACCTGTGTGTGCTGCTCCCTACCCGGCCTTCTGGAGAGCCACTCTGTGCTGCAGCAGGCTTGGGACCGGCCTCTCTGAGGTTTTGGGGTGATGGGGGGGGTGTGGGTGGCTGCCTTGTTGTGGTCCTTGGTAGGCGAGATATGTAATTGTGCCCAGTGTACGGTTGGGTGGTGTGCTTTGGGTCCTTGTAAAAGCACGATCGTGTGTTGCTTTCCTCCTGTACTCCTAGCAAGCTCCAGTGATGCCTTTGACTGTCTGTGTGCTTGCATCCCTGCCTTGCATGTTAATGAAAGACATCACTCTCTTTAGCTTCTCTCTGCTTGGACAGGATACTCTTTGTTTACTCTGTTTATTTCTGTCTGGCCTACTTGTAGATCCTGGGCTACCCCAGAGTGGCCCATTTCTGCTGAATGGAACTGGGGGCTGTGTGGGTGCTTTGTCTTGCTTTCAGTTTGGGATCTGGCTGGGCTGTGTTGTTTTATGGCTGATGGGTGGGAGTGGAGAAGGGGGGAGTGTAGGGAGGAAGCAGAGAGCAAACATTATTTTTTTTTCCCACTATGCATCTGCCAAAAGCATCCTTTGAGTTGGACGTAAAGAAAAATAAAAGGCAGAGTCCTTGCAGGAATGAAATTAACCCCATGTCTAATTTTCAGCCTAGAAAGCAGTGTGTGGGTGCTTAGAGAGACTGCAGTGTTTACTGTTCTGGAATTTAATGACACAGCATGTAAACCTAAACAAGGTTGGAGAGAGGCAAGTGGTGAGGGGAGCAAAGAGGGGGAAAGGGGGAAGGGAGGAAAAGGAGCTCTCAGGCTGTGGACCTGGATTGAATTACAAGAATAGTATGGCTTATATTGACAGTGAAAGCCTACATGTGGTTTTGCGTTGCTTCATGCAGACAAAGGAGAAGAATGGGATAGGGAGCATGTGTTTTGCAACTTGATAGCTATCTGTGCGGAACCAGAAAGGGTGGCTGTGGCATCACCAACCAACCTGTCTTTATCTCCTCCAGTTGACTGTGTGTGTCTGCTGTAGGATGCTGACTGCCCGAACAGACCTTGCGGGTGCTCCAGGTCTTCTCTTATGTCCTGGGAACACCCCCAGCCTAGACTGGGATGCCTGTACATGCACGTGAGGCAGATCTAAACCTAACCATGTCACAGTCTGCAACATGACAGAAAACCTGGGGTTAAATGAGGTTTTATTTGTATATTTCTACATCTATAAAGTGTGTCTCTCTTCTCTTCAAAAATGTGTATTTTCCTAGTCTCAGCTGATACTCTGTGC